ATTTATATTTTTGTTTAGTGTATATATACAATTAAAAACATGACATTACATTTACAACAGATTTCACAACATATTAAGTGTGAGCCCTCAGGCCACTACTCTGCTACCACATATCTACAATACAAAATGTATGTGTACGTGTGTATAGAGTGCATCTGTTAGCATGTGTATGTGTGTGTCTGTGCCTATGTGTGTGTCTCTTCACAGTCCCTGCTGTTCCATAAGGTGTATTTCTATCTGTTTTTAATCTGATTTTACTGCTTGCATCAGTTACCTGATGTGGAATAGAGTTCCATGTAGTCATGGCTCTATGTAGTACTGTGCGCCTCCCATAGTCTGTTCTGGACTTGGGGACTGTGAAGAGACCTCTGGTGGCATGTCTTGTGGGGTATGCATGGGTGTCCGAGCTGTGCGCCAGTAGTTTAAACAGACAGCTGGGTGCATTCAACATTTCAATACTTCTTACAAAACAAGTAATGATGAAGTCGATCTCTCCTCTACTTTGAGCCAGGAGAGATTTGCTTGCATATTATTAATGTTAGTTTTTTCGTGTAGATTTAAGGGCCAGCTGTGCTGCCTTGTTCTGAGCCAATTGTAATTTTCCTAAGTCCCTCTTTGTGGCACCTGACCACACAACTGAACAGTAGTCCAGGTGCGACAAAACTAGGGCCTGTAGGACCTGCCTTGTTGATAGTGCTGTTAAGAAGGTAGAGCAGCGCTTTACTATGGACAGACTTCTCCCCATCTTAGCTACTTTTGTATCAACATGTTTTGACCATGACAGTTTACAATCCAGGGTTACTCCAAGCAGTTTAGTCACCTCAACTTGCTCAATTTCCACATTATTCATTACAAGATTTAGTTGAGGTTTAGGGCTTAGTGGAAAATGTGTCCCAAATACAATGCTTTTAGTTTTTGAAATATTTGGTACTAACTTATTCCTTGCCACCCACTCTGAAACTAACTGCAACTCTTTGTTAAGTGTTGCAGTCATTTCAGTTGCTGTAGTAGCTGACGTGTATAGTGTTGAGTCGTCCGCATACATAGACACACTGGCTTTACTCAAAGCCAGTGGCATGTCATTAGTAAAGATTGAAAAAAGTAAGGGGCCTAGACAGCTGCCCTGGGGAATTCCTGATTCTACCTGGATTATGTTGGAGAGGCTTCCATTAAAGAACACCCTCTGTGTTCTGTTAGACCGGTAACTCTCTATCCACAATATAGCAGGGGGTGTAAAGCCAAAACACATACGTTTTTCCAGCAGCAGATTGTGATCGATAATGTCAAAAGCCGCACTGAAGTCTAACAAAACAGCTCCCACAATATTTGAATTAGCAATTTCTCTCAGCCAATCATCAGTCATTTCTCTCAGCCAATCATCAGTCATTTCTCTCAGCCAATCATCAGTCATTTGTGTATGTAATGTACATGTTGTATGACCTTCCCTATAAACGTGATGAAAATCTGTTAATTTGTTCACTATGAAATAACATTGTATTTGGTGAGACTATAACTGAGCTGAGACTATAACGGAGACTATAGCTGAGACTAACTGATCTGAGACTATAGCTGAGACTATAGCTGAGACTATAGCTGAGACTATAGCTGAGACTAACTGTTCTGAGACTATAGCTGAGACTATAACTGAGACTATAACGGAGACTATTGCTGAGACTATTGCTGAGACTATTGCTGAGACTATTGCTGAGACTATAGCTGAGACTATAACTAAGACTATAGCTGAGACTATAGCTGAGACTATAACTGAGACTATAGCTGAGACTATAACGGAGACTATAGCTGAGACTATAGCTGAGACTATAACGGAGACTATAGCTGAGACTAACTGATCTGAGACTATAACGGAGACTATAACTGAGACTATAACTGAGACTATAACGGAGACTATAGCTGAGACTATAGCTGAGACTATAACTGAGACTATAGCTGAGACTATAACGGAGACTATAGCTGAGACTATAGCTGAGACTATAACGGAGACTATAGCTGAGACTAACTGATCTGAGACTATAACGGAGACTATAACTGAGACTATAACTGAGACTATAACGGAGACTATAGCTGAGACTATAGCTGAGACTATAACTGAGACTATAGCTGAGACTATAACGGAGACTATAGCTGAAACTATAGCTGAGACTAACTGATCTGAGACTATAACTGAGACTATAACTGAGACTATAACTGAGACTATAGCTGAGACTAACTGTTCTGAGACTATAGCTGAGACTATAGCTGAGACTATAACGGAGACTATAGCTGAGACTATAACGGAGACTATAGCTGAGACTATAGCAGAGACTAACTGATCTGAGACTATAACTGAGACTATAACTGAGACTATAACTGACACTATAGCTGAGACTAACTGTTCTGAGACTATAGCTGAGACTATAACGGAGACTATAACTGAGACTATAGCTGAGACTAACTGATCTGAGACTATAGCTGAGACTATAGCGGAGACTATAACTGAGACTATAACTGAGACTATAGCTGAGACTAACTGATCTGAAACTATAACGGAGACTATAGCTGAGACTATAACGGAGACTATAGCTGAGACTATAACTGAGACTATAACTGAGACTATAGCTGAGACTATAGCGGAGACTATAGCGGAGACTATAGCTGAGACTATAGCTGAGACTATAACGGAGACTATAGCTGAGACTATAGCTGAGACTAACTGATCTGAAACTATAACGGAGACTATAGCTGAGACTATAACGGAGACTATAGCTGAGACTATAACTGAGACTATAACGGAGACTATAACTGAGACTATAACTGAGACTATAGCTGAGACTATAGCTGAGACTATAGCTGAGACTATAGCTGAGACTATAGCTGAGACTATAACTGAGACTATAGCTGAGACTAACTGATCTGAGACTATAACGGAGACTATAGCTGAGACTATAGCTGAGACTATAACAGAGACTATAGCTGAGACTATAACTGAGACTATAGCTGAGACTATAGCTGAGACTATAACTGAGACTATAACGGAGACTATAACGGAGACTATAACGGAGACTATAACGGAGACTATAACGGAGACTATAACGGAGACTATAGCTGAGACTAACTGATCTGAGACTATAACTGAGACTATAACTGAGACTATAGCTGAGACTATAACGGAGACTATAGCTGAGACTATAACGGAGACTATAGCTGAAACTATAGCTGAGACTATAGCTGAGACTAACTGATCTGAGACTATAACTGAGACTATAACTGAGACTATAACGGAGACTATAGCTGAGACTAACTGTTCTGAGACTATAGCTGGGACTATAACGGAGACTATAGCTGAGACTATAGCTGAAACTATAACTGAGACTATAACGGAGACTATTGCTGAGACTATAGCTGAGACTAACTGATCTGAGACTATAACTGAGACGATAGCTGAGACTAACTGTTCTGAGACTATAGCTGAGACTATAGCTGAGACTATAACTGAGACTATAGCTGAGACTATAGCTGAGACTATAGCTGAGACTATAACGGAGACTATAACGGAGACTATAACGGAGACTATAACGGAGACTATAGCTGAGACTATAACGGAGACTATAACGGAGACTATAACGGAGACTATAACTGAGACTATAACTGAGACTATAGCTGAGACTATAACGGAGACTATAACGGAGACTAACTGATCTGAGACTATAACTGAGACGATAGCTGAGACTAACTGATCTGAGACTATAACTGAGACTATAGCGGAGACTATAGCTGAGACTATAGCTGAGACTATAGCTGAGACTATAACGGAGACTATAACGGAGACTATAATGGAGACTATAGCTGAGACTAACTGATCTGAGACTATAACTGAGACTATAGCTGAAACTATAACAGAGACTATAGCTGAGACTATAACTGAGACTATAACTGAGACTATAACTGAGACTATAGCTGAGACTATAACTGAGACTATAACGGAGACTATAACGGAGACTATAACGGAGACTATAACGGAGACTATAACGGAGACTATAGCTGAGACTAACTGATCTGAGACTATAACTGAGACTATAACTGAGACTATAGCTGAGACTATAACGGAGACTATAGCTGAGACTATAACGGAGACTATAGCTGAAACTATAGCTGAGACTATAGCTGAGACTAACTGATCTGAGACTATAACTGAGACTATAACTGAGACTATAACGGAGACTATAGCTGAGACTAACTGTTCTGAGACTATAGCTGAGACTATAACGGAGACTATAGCTGAGACTATAGCTGAAACTATAACTGAGACTATAACGGAGACTATTGCTGAGACTATAGCTGAGACTAACTGATCTGAGACTATAACTGAGACGATAGCTGAGACTAACTGTTCTGAGACTATAGCTGAGACTATAGCTGAGACTATAGCGGAGACTATAGCTGAGACTATAGCTGAGACTATAGCTGAGACTATAACTGAGACTATAGCTGAGACTATAGCTGAGACTATAACGGAGACTATAACGGAGACTATAACGGAGACTATAACGGAGACTATAGCTGAGACTATAGCTGAGACTATAACGGAGACTATAACGGAGACTATAACGGAGACTATAACTGAGACTATAACTGAGACTATAGCTGAGACTATAACGGAGACTATAACGGAGACTAACTGATCTGAGACTATAACTGAGACGATAGCTGAGACTAACTGATCTGAGACTATAGCGGAGACTATAGCTGAGACTATAGCTGAGACTATAGCTGAGACTATAGCTGAGACTATAGCTGAGACTATAGCTGAGACTATAACGGAGACTATAACGGAGACTATAACGGAGACTATAGCTGAGACTAACTGATCTGAGACTATAACTGAGACTATAGCTGAAACTATAGCTGAGACTATGACTGAGCTGAGACTATGTTCATGGTGAACAGTATGTTTCTAACTGAATGACTGACTGATCCCATTTCCTCTCCCCTTGTCCTGCAGTGGTCAGTTTGCGGTGGTAAAGAAATGCCGTGAGCGTAGCTCTGGCCTGGAGTATGCCGCTAAGTTCATCCGTAAGCGACGGAGTAAGTCGAGCCGGCGTGGCGTGACCCGGGAAGACATCGAGAGGGAGGTCAGCATTCTGAAGGAGATTCAACACCCAAACACCATCACGCTACACGACGTGTTCGAGAACAAGACTGATGTCATCCTCATACTAGAACTGTGAGTACCCTGACGTCCACCCCCTGACGTCCACCCCCTGACGTCCACCCCCTGACGTCCACCCCCTGACGTCCACCCCCTGACGTCCACCCCCTGACGTCCACCCCCTGACGTCCAACCCCTGACGTCCAACCCCTGACGTCCACCCCCTGACGTCCACCCCCTGACGTCCACCCCCTGACGTCCACCCCCTGACGTCCACCCCCTGACGTCCAACCCCTGACGTCCAACCCCTGACGTCCACCCCCTGACGTCCACCCCCTGACGTCCACCCCCTGACGTCTACCCCCTGATGTCCAACCCCTGACGTCCAACCCCTGACGTCCACCCCCTGACGTCCACCCCCTGACGTCTACCCCCTGACGTCTACCCCCTGACGTCCACCCCCTGACGTCCACCCCCTGACGTCTAACCCCTAAATGAAACAGACAACTTGACCGGTGTTAACTAGATTACAAATGCTCATTCTATCGATGTAAGACAGACATTATTCTGGTCAACACTACTTGAGTATCCCGAATAATAACGCTATATTGGTGTGCATGTAAAGGTGCTCAGTGAAATATAATAACTCAGAATATTCACATACAGGTTTTGTTTTCCTTGATCAGTTGTTTCATCAATATTTAATATGCATGTTTTATAATATGTATATTTTTGTAGACTACACCTAATATAGAATAGAAGAGGCATTTGAATTTCACTGAATTCAGTTCTATTTCCTTTAATTCAAATTAGAATTGCAATTCTGTATCCTGTTTGCTACTTCAAGAATTGAATTGGAATTGATGAGGCATTTTATATTTAGAATTGAGCACAACCCTGTCGTCTACATCCTGACAGTCCCTATATCCAGTCTGTTCCAGTGTAAAAAAAACAACTGTTGTTTTGGCAGCTGGTGGTCAAGTGACTGAACACTGTGTTGTGATTGGCTGAGTGTGTTATTATCCTGTCATAGCTTCCTCTGCAGCTGGCTGCTACTTCCTGTTCCTGATCCCTGTTTCCATTCTCAGAGGAAATACATAAATTAGGGATTTTTTCAGGGGGAAAAACATCAACAATGTAGTCATTACAGTGACCTGCTCTACCACCCACCAGTCTGATATACCACCCACCAGTCTGATATACCACCCACTAGTCTGCTATACCACCCACCAGTCTGATATACCACCCACCAGTCTGCTATACCACCCACTAGTCTGATATACCACCCACCAGTCGCTATAAAAAAACCAACCCACCAGTCTGCTATAACCACCCAACACCCACCAGTCCCTGATAGACCAACCCACCAGTCCTGGCTAATAACCACCCACCAGTCCTGCTATACCACCCACCCAGTCTGATGTAACCACACACGAAGTCTGATTATTACCAACACCCACCCAGTCTGGCGATTAACCACCGCACCAGTCTGAATATAGCCCCACCCACCAGTCCTGATATACCACCCACCAGTCTGCTATAAAACCACCCACCAGTCCTGCTGTACCACCAGTTTGATATACCACACCCACCAGTCTGCTATACCACCCACCCAGTCTGCTTATAAACCACCCCCCAGTCTGCTATACCACCCACCAGTCTATGTACCACCCCCAGTCTGCTATAACCCACCCACCAGTCTGCTTATAACCACCCACCAGTCTGATATACCCACCCACCATCTGATATACCACCCACCAGTCTGCTATCACCACCCACCAGTCTGCTATAACCACCCACCAGTCTGATATACCACCCACCAGTCTGCTATACCACCCACCAGTCTGCTATACCACCAGTCTGAAATACCACCCACCAGTCTGCTATAACCACCCACTAGTCTGCTATACCACCCACTAGTCTGCTATACCACCCACCAGTCTGCTATACCACCCCCACCAGTCTGATATAACCACCCACCAGTCTGCTATACCACCCACCGTCCTGCTATACCACCCACCAGTCTGATATAACCACCCACCAGTCTGATATACCACCCACCAGTCTGCTATCACCACCCACCAGTCTGATATACCACCCACTAGTCCTGCTATACCACCCACCAGTCTGCTATACCACCCACCAGTCTGATATACCACCCACCAGTCTGCTATACCACCCACCAGTCTGATATACCACCCACCAGTCTGATATACCACCCACCAGTCTGCTATACCACCCACCAGTCTGATGTACCACCCACCAGTCTGCTATACCACCCACCAGTCTGCTATACCACCCACCAGTCTGCTATACCACCCACCAGTCTGCTATACCACCCACCAGTCTGCTATACCACCCACCAGTCTGCTATACCACCCACCAGTCTGCTATACCACCCACCAGTCTGATATACCACCCACCAGTCTGATATACCACCCACCAGTCTGCTATACCACCCACCAGTCTGCTATACCACCCACCAGTCTGCTGTACCACCCACCAGTCTGCTATACCACCTGCTGTACCACCCACCAGTCTGCTATACCACCCACCAGTCTGATATACCACCCACCAGTCTGCTATACCACCCACCAGTCTGCTATACCACTCACCAGTCTGGTGAAGGGTTGTCTACATGGCCTCCATCTCTCTAGAGTCTGGTGAAGGGTGGTCTGGTGAAGGGTGGTCTGGTGAAGGGTGGTCTGCATGCCATGCTGTACTACTTCTCTCACCTCCTCACAAGGAAAAGGACCAGCGGTCCGGCAGGAAAAGGACCAGCGGTCCGGCAGCCACGGTCACCATGACGCTGCCTCTGGTGTCACTGCAAGCTGTGACAGCTTTGTCACTTGCCTTCTTCATGACATTTTACAGCTGATGTATTGTTGCCCAGTCCTTGGGTTGATAGAAGTGCCTGTTGTTAGCTTGTTGTATGTACAGTAGGTATTGTCTAAGATCTTCTAAAAGATACGCAGCTCAAATCCCTGTCACCCTCATTGTCTCTCTCTGGTGGTTCATTCTTCCCACTTTTTCCCCTCCCTCCTATCTCCTCCTCCTCCTCTCCTCTTCCTCTTCTCTTCCTCTCCTATAGGGTGGCTGGTGGAGAACTGTTTGATTTGCTAGCAGAGAAGGAGTCCCTAACAGAAGAGGAGGCAACAGAGTTCCTCAAACAGATTCTGGATGGAGTCCACTACCTACACTCCAAACACATCGCACACTTTGACCTCAAGGTACACATACACGCCATCGGACACAGAGCTACAAGGGCCAGTCCAGTGATGTGCTCTCCACTCTGCTCTGCACTAAAACCAGACACAACTAATCAATGGCAGAGATTTTATCACACCCGGCTCTCTGAACATCTGTCATCACCATCACTCACCGGTTGTTAGTGGTGGAAGACATCAGGGTCCGGATCAGTTCAATTCCAACTCAGTCAATGATTTGTAAAATGTCCCATTGTTTAAACATGCTTCCCCAAAAACTCAAGAATTGAACATGGTATACAGCCTTCAAACTCAACTCTGGACCTCGAAGCCAGTTCCACTGCATGTTTTCATTGTTCCCCTCTAACCAGGGACTGATTTAGACCTGGGACACCAGGTGGGTGATTCCCCTCTAATCAGGGACTGATTTAGACCTGGGACACCAGGTGGGTGATTCCCCACTAACCGGGGACTGATTTAGACCTGGGACACCAGGTGGGTGATTCCCCTCTAATCAGGGACTGGTCTAGACCTGGGACACCAGGTGGGTGATTCCCCTCTAACCGGGGACTGATTTAGACCTGGGACACCAGGTGGGTGATTCCCCTCTAACCAGGGACTGATTTAGACCTGGGACACCAGGTGGGTGATTCCCCTCTAACCAGGGACTGATTTAGACCTGGGACACCAGGTGGGTGATTCCCCTCTAATCAGGGACTGATTTAGACCTGGGACACCAGGTGGGTGATTCCCCTCTAACCAGGGACTGATTTAGACCTGCGACACCAGGTGGGTGATTCCCCTCTAACCAGGGACTGGTTTAGACCTGGGACACCAGGTGGGTGATTCCCCTCTAACCAGGGACTGATTTAGACCTGGGACACCAGGTGGGTGCAATTAATTATCAGGTAGAACAGAAAACCAGCAGTCTTCGGACCTCGAAGGGTCAGAGTTGAGTACCCCTGGTCTACTGTATAGGACAGCTTGAGTCACATGATCCCAAAACTACACATACTACTAATACTACACATACTACCCTACATAATACTACTCATACTACATAATACTACACATACTACATAATACTACACACTACATAATACTACTCATACTAGACATTCTACTACACATACTACAGTACATCATACTACACATACTACACACTCTACTACTCATACTACATAATACTACACATACTACATAATACTACACACTACATAATACTACTCATACTATACATTCTACTACACATACTACAGTACATCATACTACACATACTACACACTCTACTACTCATACTACATAATATTATTATTATATACATAATACTACACACTACATAAAACTACTCATACTACACACTCTACTACTCATACTACATACTCTACTACCTAATACTACTCATATTACACATTCTACTACACATACTATATAATACACTCATACTACACATTCTACTACACATACTATATAATACACTCATACTACACATTCTACTACACATACTACCTAATACTACTCATACTACACATTCTACTACTCATACTACATAATACTACTCATATTACACATTCTACTACACATACTATATAATACACTCATACTACACATTCTACTACACATACTATATAATACACTCATACTACACATTCTACTACACATACTACCTAATACTACTCATACTACACATTCTACTACACATACTATATAATACACTCATACTACATATTCTACTACACATACTACGCATACTACACATTCTACTACACATACTATATAATACTACTCATACTACACATTCTACTACACATACTATATAATACTAATCATACTACACATTTGACTACATAATACTACTCATACTACACATTCTACTACACATACTTGATAATGTATGTGATATCAACAGAGAGGTATATTTTCTGGGTGATTTAAATATTGACTGGTTTTCATCAAGCTTCCCACTCAAGAGAAAGCTTCAAACTGTAACCAGTGGCTGCAACCTGGTTCAGGTTATCAGTCAACCTACCAGGGTAGTTACAAACAGTACAGGAATGAAATCATCAACATGTATTGATCACATCTTTACTAATGTTGCAGAAATGTGCTTGAAAGCAGTATCCAGATCCATCGGATGTAGTGATCACAATATAGTAGCCATATCTAGGAAAACCAAATTTCCAAAGGCTGGGCCTAATATTGTGTATAAGAGGTCATACAATAAGTTTTGTAGTGATTCCTATGTTGTTGATGTAAAGAATATTTGTTGGTCCGTGGTGTGTAATGAGGAGCAAACAGACACTGCACGTGACACATTTATGAAATTGCTTATTCCAGTGACTAATTTTGAAATCTGTAAAGTGAGTGTGGAAGAGGTGAAAAAAGTATTGTTGTCTGTCAACAATGACAAGCCACCGGGGTCTGACAACTTGGATGGAAAATTACTGCGGATAATAGCTGATATTGCCACTCCTATTTGCCATATCTTCAATTTGTGACACAGCCTGGGATCAAACCCAGGTCTGTAGTGACGCCTCAAGGACTGCGATGCAGTGCGATCAAACCCAGGTCTGTAGTGACGCCTCAAGGCCTGCGATGCAGTGCCTCAGACCGTTCCACTACTTGGGAGTGTTCTGCCTTCTTAACATGGTAGTCATTTAGCAGATGCTCTTATCCATTAACAGCACTGTCAACAAGGCAGGTCCTACAGGCTCTAGTTTTGTTGCACCTGGACTACTGTTCAGTTGTGTGGTCAGGTGCCACAAAGAGGGACTTGGGAAAATTGCAATTGGCTCAGAACAGGGCAGCACAGCTGGCCCTTGGATGTACACAGAAAGCTAACATTAATAATATGCATGTCAATCTCTCCTGGCTCAAAGTGGAGGAGAGATTGACATGTTGAATGTACCGAGCTGTCTGTTTAAACAACTGGCACACAGCTCGGACACCCATGCATATCCCAGAAGACATGCCACCAGAGGTCTCTTCACAGTCCCCAAGTCCAGAACAGACTATGGGAGGCGCACAGTACTACATAGAGCCATGACTACATGGAACTCCATTCCACATCAAGTAACTCATGCAAGCAGTAGAATCAGATTTAAAAAACAGATAAAAATACACCTTATGGACCAGCGGGGACTGTGAAGCAACACAAACATAGGCACAGACAAATGGATACACACACACGATAACATACGCACTATACACACACGTACACATGGATTTTGTATTGTAGATATGTGGTAGTGGAGTATGGGCCTGAGGGAACACACTTAATGTGTTGTGAAATCTGTTGTAAATGTATTGTAATGTTTTTTAAATTGTATAATTGCCTTAATTTTTCTGGACCCCAGGAAGAGTAGCTGCTGCCATTCTACTACACATACTACACGATACTACAAAATACTACTGCTACTACACATACTACTAATACTACACATACTACACTACATAATACTACTCATACTACATAATACTGCTCATACTACACTACATAATACTACACATTCTACATAATACTACTCATACTACACCTACTACATAATACTACTCATACTATACATCAGAATCAAATCACGTTTATTGTCCCACAAGAGGAAAATATTGGACGTACTGCCAATACTACTGAATACTACTCATATTACTGAATACTACATAACACTACTCATACTACATAATACTACTCACATTATACATACTGCATAATACTACATATACTACGCATACTACACATACTACTCTTACTACATTATACATATACTACACATACTACATAATACCAGACATTCTACTCATACTACACATACTACATAATACTATTCATACTACATAATACTATTCATACTACATAATACTATTCATACTACATAATACTATTCATACTACATAATACTACACATACTACATAATACTAGCTTTATCAGATGCACTCCTCATTCACATTACGTTTACATTACGGTGGTCCTCTGTAGCTCAGCTGGTAGAGCACGGCGCTTGTAACGCCAAGGTAGTGGGTTCGATCCCTGGGACCACCCATATATAAACATGTATGCACGCATGACTGTAAGTCGCTTTGGATAAAAGCGTCTGATAAATGGCTTATTATTATTATTATTATTATTATTATTATTATTATTATTATATTCATACTACTCATACTACACATACTATATAGTACTATTCATACTACATAATACTAGCTTTATCAGATGCACTCCTCATACACATTATTCATACTATACATACTACTCGTGCTACACGTACTACATAATACTACTCATACTACACATACTATATAATACTACTCATACTACACATACTATATAATACTACTCATACTACACATACTATATAATACTACATACTACTACACATATTACCCATACTACATAAAACTACATATACTAAACATACAACTCATATTACATAATACTGTCTTTATCAGATACACTCCTCAGAGATACTACACATAGTACTACACATACAACATACTACTAGCTTTATCAGACACACTACTCCTACATACTACATACTACATACTACATACTACCACTACATCTACCTGGAGCCATTTCTGTCATATAGAGACAATCTGATTCCAGTCCTGTCTCATTGACTTCTGTTCCCATATAGAAACAATCTGATTCCAGTCCTGTCTCATTGACTTCTGTTCCCAGTCTAAAAGCCATTAATTCTTTAACCTGCTGGTCCAAAGAGCTTTTAAAGGATTAGGTCAGGTGTCAAGATAGTCTGCTGAAGGAGGCATTGTGGCACTGGAATGTAGGTTCTCTCTCTCTCTCTCTCTCTCACACACCATCTCTCTCTCTAGCTCTCTCTCACACCATCTCTCTCTCTAGCTCTCTCTCTCACACCATCTCTCTCTCTAGCTCTCTCTCTCTCACACCATCTCTCTCTCTCTCTCTCACACACCATCTCTCTCTCTCTCTCTCTCTCACCATCTCTCTCTCTAGCTTGCTTGGTGGTTCCAAGAGAGGCTTTACTTTATGGGATGTTATTTTCCTCCCTTCTCTCTGTCTCTCTCTGTCTCTCTCTGTCTCTCTCTGTCTCTCTCTGTCTCCTCTTCCCTTTCCCCCCCCCCCCCCCCCCCCCCCCCCCCCCCCCCCCCCCCCCCCCCCCACCCCCTTTTTGTTTGCCCACCCCCCCTTTCCCCCCCCGGGGGGGCC